TCAGTCTCATAGCTGACTTGGCAGCAAGAAATAGGTTATGTAGGATAAGCTGCATGCTGAAACCCCCTTACCATACTTCTATGTGATCACAGTGGGTTTTGTGGGAGCATGTTAATCTAAATCTCTGCCTGTGTGTGTGTTTTTTTTGTGGCAGGGTCCCAGCCTCACTTTCGGGGATGACCGGTAGTGAATTTGGCCAGATAACGTTTGTGTTCGAGACCATCTGCTCCGCCGACTGTGAGCTCTACTTCATGATGGTGTGTGTTCGACTGTGTATGATTGTTTGGAGGACGAGGTGGTAATTAGGGAACTCATTTTGACCAGCAAGCCAGAATAGTCATGTCTGTCTCCAGCTGTGGTCCAGTTTAATTTCATTATGCATATTGTTGTTCAGTAATCTAACCCTTATTTTCCCACCTAACTGTTTTACTGTGACGCCCCCTGCAGGATGTGAACAGGAAGAGCACCACAGTGGTGGAGTCCTGGGAAGGCAGTAAGGGGAAACAGTCGTACTCGCACAGCATGACCAGAAACGCCTCTGTCATATACACATGGGCCTTCCAGAGGACTAACCATGCGCTGGATGTAAGTGAACACTCAAAGTGCCTTATTCCTTTTAATGAATGCCTGTGGATGTCATTCTCAGTATTAATTTCTTCTTCTCTGCAAGAGAAAATTGTGTTTTCAGCTACTTTAAAAACTTGAAATGACATTGGTGATGCCCTGACTTTTCCTCCAGCACCACCATGAGGTTGGCTTTTAGTGAAATATCTTGACAATTATTGGCATGAAATATATAATGCAGATATGTATGTTCCCCTGTAAGAATTGTCCTCTAATCTAGTGCCATCATCTGGTCAAAATTTGAAAAATGTACCCATCAGAGTCAGCTTTATGTTAAGTGCTAATTAGAAAATCTTAGCAAGCAAGATGGTAAAAAATGATAAACATTACCTGCTTGCCAGCATGTTAGCATATGTACTTGCAGCATTTTATTTAGTTAATATTGTACAGTGACAGATATATATATATAGTCTGTCTGAAACAGTGCCACCATACCACAGCATTTATTGCCTAAGCAGTGGGCCCTTAAAATATACTTGACAAGAAAATACTTACAAAGCAGCATTATACACAAAACTCAGCGAAAAAATACATACAAAACATACAAACAAGCACAAAATGTAAAAAATGCACAAAACACAAACAATAGTACAGCATGTTAGCAGTTAGCTCAAAGTCATTGTGCTCTTCAGCCTCACAGGGCCGTTAAGGTGGTTGTATACTTTTATTAACCATGTTATTCTCATTATTATGTTGTTCTTTTATACAATTGATGTTTTCAGCTACTACTACTA